TGGAGTACTGCTCAGCGGTAAAAAAAACAATGACATCTTGAAACTTGCAGGTAAATGGACAGAACTAGAAAAAAAACATTCTGAGTGAGGTAACCCAAACCCAGAAAGACAAATATAATATGTATTCACTCATAAGAGGATATTAGACATAAAGCAAAGGACAACCAGCCTACAGGCCACAACCCCAGAGAACCTAAGTAACAAAGAGGACCCTAAGAGAGACATACATGGATCTGCCTAGGAAGGGGCAAAAGACAAGATCTCCTGAGTGAATTGGAAGGGGGGTGGAAGAGGAGAGGGGCTGAGGGAAGGGGAGTGGAGAAAAATGTATAGCTCAATAAAAAAATCAAAAAAAATTAAAATATTTTCTGGAGGAAACGGGGAGCAGGTATATTAAAGGGAGCAGAAGGGAAATACATTGTGGGACAAAGGAGTTTTTAGGGGTCAAGAGGTAGGGCCAGCATTGTGGGACAAAGTGGACAGAGGCCAGGGCTATAACACAGGCAAGAGGCCTCACTTCACAATCACATCTCATGGACAATTCTGCCTGGCTCTGGCAAGGCACCCCAAGCTCAGAGCACTCCCCAGCCCATGCAAAACCTGTGCTTTTGTCCAAACACAAGGGCAAACCCAACAGCTGAGGCCATTCACCGGCTCTGTAATAACCTCCAGCTCCTCAACCCTGAGCTGGAGGGTTGTGATGGCTGTAACGGCTGCCATTTCCTCCTTCCATGTGGATGTCTGGAAAGGACATACTTACTTGGCAATGCTGAGACACTCAGGAATGCCAGTCTTGCATTTCTCCAGAATTCCAGCACCTTCCAGGGCTCCTGGATCAGACTGGGGTTTGCTGTTTCAACATGAAAAATGGTGTCTTCTAGCAGGGCTTCCTCTTAGAAATGGCAAAGTAGAAAACAGGAAGTTCCCATTGCTCTGGATGCGGGGGGCTCTCAGACACACACCCCCAGCTCAGTTAGAGACACTGGACAGCAATGAAAATGCTAAGACACTCCCACCCCTCAGGCCCTGCCTGGGCTTGAAACAGACATCAATTGATTGAAGAGCTTCCATTTCCCCACCAAGCCAGGCTCCCTAAAATAAGCTCACCTGACATTCCTTTGGCAGGGAGTATGGAAAGTCTCCTTACAGAGGAGGTGTAGGGAGGAGGCCCCTGGAAGCAGCCTGGATAGGAAGAAGCTGCAGTCAAACCTTGCAGCTGCCTGGAGCAGTGTGACTGTGGATGGGACACTACACTTTCTGTACCCAGTATCTCTGTGAACACAGTGGTTAGACTGAATGTTCCCAGCGACCCCTTCCAGCTTGTAGTGACTGGTTACCCTAGTCAGACATAGGGAACCAGAAAATTCTGGGAACTAGCTGGAGGAGAGAGGAGCAAAGGCGCCCAGAGCAATGGAGTTACAATTAAGGTGGACAGACAGGCAGGGCCTCTGCCCTGTTTTGGCGGCCTGGCAGAGCCACTGAAGCTATTATAAGACAGCCCTGGAGCTGAGACATACTGTGGGTTGTGAGGGAAGCCTATGAGCATTGGAGACCAGACAGGAGGCCCCAGATGGCATAAACCAAGAGAGAGAAAGGCAGGCTGCAAAGGGCTCCTACCAGATCATGGTGCAACCCTTCACATACCAACTGACTTCCCCAAGCCCACTTTTGGACATGTGGCCACCTCTATGAACAGAGTGTGGTGTTTTCTGGCAGGGTGTGGCTGCAGAACTCATTCCTTCATTGAATGAAGCTGTCACTGAGTGTTATTGTGTGTCTGTGCTGGGGCTTGGGGAAGGACAACATGGCCTCAGCAGACAAGGTCATCAAGGGCACCATTCCTGTGACTCAGACACCATAGGTCCTAAGCTAGCATCATGTGGGCAAGGAGCCCTGCGGTGTCACCCCAACCACCGTCAGGATGTTGTAGTCAGACACTCCTATGAGTCTACTAGCACGTTTTTGGTTTTGGTTTTGTTTGGTTTGGGGTTTTTGTTTGTTTGTTTTTAAAGAATGTTGGAACCTGAGTCCTAGGCAGTCGCATTTGGGGATCTGGACCTAGGAAACCACTTATCAGCTGTCAGCTTTGCAATTCAGACTCCAGCTGTGTGCTCCTTCTTCCTGCAGCTTCCCCTATTCCTAAAGGAGACCAGGAGTAAGCACCCAGGGTCCAGGGTCCAGGGTCCAGGGTCCTTGGCTGCTCTGTCCTCCCCAGCACTGCACTCTTGCCTCCTCACTAAGGGCAGCCAGAGGCTTAAGAACCATCTAGAAGATGCTTGCATATGAATGCACTGTTCAGAGCTTTGAGTATGGTCATCTAGGAGGGAGTACACCCAAAAGAATGAAGACTACCACCCCCCAAAGCTGAGTGTGTGGTGACCGCTGAGACCCAGGGAAGATGGACACAGGACAACTCTTGAGAAAAGGAGTGGATGAGTATCAAGTTGGGCAGGGGGGAGGTTCTCCCAGGCAGGGCCTGTGGCTGTACTGCTTGCCTTTAATCGGCAACTCTGCTGTGTTGGGAGCTAGGCACCATCTATTTGTGCGGTCCAGTACAGTTGGCTAGCATCTGGAGCCTGCTGGATCCCAACAGCTGCACATTAGGCAGCCCTCAACCAACCCTCTGCTGGAAGGATGGTCTCACTCAAAGATTCCTTCAGCTCTTGGCCCAGAGCATGTTGTTGCCTTCAAGCACAAAAGCTGCCATTGACCTCTGCTCTGCTGTCTCAGGGCAGAAGTGTCACAGCTGCTGTGCACCGTACAGGCTAGGCTGTGGGGAAGGAAGCTGCTGCTCTCGCCAGCTGCCACCTGCCAAGAGGGAAGGCAGGTTTCTGCACACCCATGGGTCAATTGTGTGATGGCCGAGGAGATGCTGGCAGAGTGTGGAATTCTTATCCCACAGAAGGCTGGGACCCAGAGCTCTAAAGCTGAAGCAGACTGGGTTCCCAGCTGTGAAGACTTTGGCTGGAAGGGGACCTCAGGGTGAGAGGATGCTGAGAGTCTCTTGCAGGATACTTTGGGGCAGCACTGGAGAGATGGCTCAGTGGGTAAAGTGCTCACATGGAAGCATTAGGACCTGAGTTCAGATTCCCAGCATTTCCACAAAAAACAAATTGGTGCAGCAGTGCATACTAGTAACCCCAGCCCCCAGATGGAGACAGTTGGATCCTAGGAGCCAAATCCTGAGCTCCAGGCTCAGCAAATGAATGAACGTCAAGGTGATGACTTTTACATCATGCAAATGATGTCCCCATTCACATTTTAGTTCATGCCAACTGTGGTGTCACTCACCTAGAAATCCAGCACTTGGAAGGGGGAGGCAGGAGAATCAGGGATTTGAGGTGAGCCTGGTCTACATGAGAACCCTGTCTCAAAACAAAAATAAACTCAAGATGCTGGAGGGGCACAGTAGAGCATTTTTAAAACACTCCAAAGTGAGTGCACACATTTTTTAAAATGTAAATAAATGTAAATTTTTCAATTCAAATACAATTTTAAATGCTACTTAGCATTAAAATGAGACACCCTGGATGATGTCTTAAATAAACCCTTTTAGACCAGGTTCATTGACTCACATCTTGAATCCCAGCACTCAGGATTCAAAGGCAGGTGGATCTCAGTGAGTTCGAGACCAGCCTGGTCCAGAGTGAATAGAATCCCAGAACAGCCAGGGCTATGTGGAGAAACCCTGTCTCAAAACAACAACAACAACACACACACACACACACACACACACACACACACACACACACTAAAACCCTGCCAATCATCCTTGAGAGGAAAGAGAAATAGAAATGAGTCCCCTCCAGAAACAGAAAGAGAGGACAAGTTTCTCCTCACCAAAGGGAAACCAAGGGTCACCCTTTAAATGTGGCTGGTTTAAGGACAAGAGAGGTGGCCCAGTGATTAAAAGCACTGGCTTTTCTTCCAGAGGACCCAGGTCCAAATTCCCAGCACCCACACAATGGTTTATCATCATCAACTGTAACTCCAGTTCCAGGAATCTGATGCCCTCTTCTGGCCTCCATGTGTACCCAAGTATACACACAGTGCACAGACACACATGCGGGCAAAGCACAGGACATAAAACAATTTTTAAGCGGCTGGTTTAGAGTTTCACAAATAACATTTATTGGCTGCATTCATAACAGACTCGTTCGGACATTCACACCAGCCCCCCTTCAACTAACAGTCACATGGTGGCTTCTACTTCAGATTGGATCATGGGTGCAGATCTTGTTGTGTATGGAGACAGCAAGTGTCACAGACCCTCCTGATCTGTGGGCCTCCCCTGAGGACCGTGATTGTGACTGCCATTCTTGCTGAGGATCTTGACAGTAGCTGAAGTCTCCACCTCAGTCCCAGAACAAATGGCTAGAAAGCCAAGAGAAAGGCAAGTGCTGGGAACTGTCCCCCAGGCTGAGCGCTCACTGTCCTGGGCATGGCTTGCCAGGAGCCTTCACAGAGAGGATGGTGCGGGCATCCCTCAGTCACTGGGTTCCCCACTACACTCAGGAACTGGGGAAGTGGACTGGGGTCAATACAGCATATCTGATTCCCAGCTGGGGGACCCAGTGAGCCACTGACCTTCAGCACCCACTCTCAGGAAGGGAGCAAACACCCAGTTTTGTAAAGCCGGGGGCTGGGGGGTTCGGTCCATAGCACCCTTGCTCCTTCAAAGGCTCTGAGCTGGACTCCTTGCCATCGAGTGTCTGCCAGGCCACAGGGGCAGCAGGTATGTGGTGTGAAGGCTTACAGGGCTTCCCCACATCCCAGCTGGACAGGGCTGGGCCAGCACCACTGCCCCAGAGCCAGGCCTGTGAAGCCAGGGGCACCTCTTGGAAGAGCCTTACAAGTGCTGTCACCATGGCATCCAAGGGCTCAATGGTCTTTCAGGAAACAGCATAAGGCAAGTCTGGGGCAGGATGCTGGTGGCAGGGTCTCTAGATTCCAAAGTGAGTGATGAGACCAGGCCCACCCCTTCTCATCTCCCCAGCAGCTCACCGAATGGCCAGGATGGCCCTCAGGACAGCCTGCAGCAGGGTAAGGAGATTAAAGCTCATGGGTAGGAGGAGGCCTAAGCGGCCAGCATGTGGCTCATCCTCCTGAGGGCCTGGCAGCTCATCTTGATGAAGGGCCTGGAGCTGCTGCCACTTGAGGAGGAGATGCTGGTCCCCGCAGACCCGCCAACAGCCATGCCAGCTGCTTGATTCCAGGGAGCATTCTAGGAGCAAAAGGAGCACTGTTGAAGATGGCATGACATTCTCTGGGGCCCCTAGGAGGTGAGGACTGTGGATCTGTAAGGGAACTGGCACCATCCAGGCAAGGTGCAGGATGGTGACTCAACAGTTTCTCTTTTTGTTTGTTTGTTTGTTTTGTGTAGCCCTGGCTGTCCTGGAACTCACTCTGTAGACCAGGTTGGCCTCTGCCTCCCTTTGTGTACTGATATAAATATAAGCCTTAATTGTATCAGTGCAAAAAACACTCCTAATATGATAATGCAATATGATGAATACATTTTCCTTCTGAAAAATTCCACCACAGTACAGAGTAGAAAATCATGTAGCCCTCTTTGTCAAGGGGACTCAAAGATCAAAACTGTGTCTGGGGATGTAGTCCAGCATGCAAAAGGCCCTGACTGTGACTCCAGCACACACACACACACACACACACGCACACACATACACACACTCACACTCACATGCACCCATACGCACACACGCAATCTTCAAATGGAAACCTATTAGATTTGAAACCAAATTATGAAATCACACTGAACTGGAAGAGGGGACAGAAGTGTAGACAGTCTGTCCCGATCCTGCCTCCGAAGTCTCCTAACTTGATCAGGTCAGAGTCTTGACAAACATACTCTGTAGGTCACCTGAACTGAGGGACACAGTGAAGCACCTGCAATCCCCACCACAGGGGAGGCTGGAGATGGAGGGCAGCTTGAGCCCAGGAGTTCACACACAGGAAGCTCTCATCTTGAAAACAAAACAAATAAACCACCTCAACTAGAAATCATGATTGGAGCTTCTAGAGAGACAGCTCAGAGGCCAGAGCATTGTCCTCTCTTGCAGAGGACCAGGGTTCAATTCCCAGCAGCCACATGATGGCCCACAACCATCCATAACTCTAGGTCTAGGGGTTCTGATGCCCTTTTCTGGCCTCCATGGGCACTGCATGCATGAAAACACTCATATACATAAAAGTAAGTAAGTCCTAAAAACAAAAAAAAAAAAAAAGTGAAAACAAGACTGTAGTAAAACTCAACACTGGTTTTTTTTAAAAAAATCCATCAGCTAATCCTATAATTTGACAATAAATGCACTTTTTCTAATAATGTAAGTACTCAAAGTGAACACAATGCAACAGACCTCAAGGAGCTCCACTAGGTCTGTGGACAGTGCTCTGTTTCTCTCACGCTCCCGGGAGAAGGTTCTGGTCTGGGTTTTTTGCTTTGTCAGACCCTGCTCTGCTCTTGGTAGCCTGCCTGGGGTCAAAGTCTAGTCTCTCTTCACTTCACCCTCGGCCCCTCCGGGCGCAATTCAGCCCTCCTTCTGAACCCTACAGGATTCCAACTTTGAACATTTCCAAGGACATCTTTTGTGTGGCTTCCTAGGACCAGATTTTCCAGAAGCCATGTGTCCTGGGGATTTGTCCATTGTGTCAGTGTCACTGTGGCTCAGGACTCTGCCTCCGCATAGCAAGTGCTGCATTTCAGGTACAGCCCACTGTGTCTATTCTACTGAGACAACAAGTTCAAGTCACCCCAAGGTTTTGCTGTAACGTTTCCCAACACTGATAAAAAATGTTGAGTGTCCTCAGACTGTCCCCAACAATGTCACAACTCAAATCCTGATGCCTTCAAGATGTGCCTGCAGGGCTGGAAGAAGCTGCACTCCAGGTGACTTCTTGCTTCTGGGGTTGGGAACAGGACATTTTTACCCATTTAATAACAGGTTGGTTGGTGGCTATCCATTTCCCGAGAGCTTCTCATCCTATCCTTTAGAAAGTTCCTCACCCCTGCCTCTTTAGAATACCATTCCCAACCCAGATCCTGTACATAGGATTCCCTGTGCAGAGCTAGCATCGTGCAACAAAGCACCTGACACCAGACCAAAGCCTGGAAGTGCCTTCCAATTCAGGTCCAGGACACTGAGTTCAAAAAACATGAGTAATATGGAGAGGGGACTGTCTCTTCCAGAGATCTGAGCCATGGCAGGGCCATATCACCAATGTGTGAGTGTGCTGCCAAGCATGTATGAACACACGCTGAACACATGAAGCATGTGAGCATGCATAATTACCATGGATGCAGGAACGCATACATGCAAGGTCACATGCATGAGCATATGAACACATTGTGTAGCACACACACACTGTTATGATTGTATAAGGCATGCATACATGTGAGCGTTTGTGTTATAAGAGCTGTCACATCAGAAATACACACCAGTTCAAAAATCAAACATGTACAGACACTACATACCACAAGTCACAGAAGTTTATAGCTTAAATAAAACCATCTTAGACATCATCAGCCCCAGCTTGTCACTGCTAAGACTGATGGTCTGCCTGTGTCACTTGTAAAAAGGCAGCAGACAGCTAGTGACACCTGGCAAGGGTTGGAGATGGCTGTGTCACTTATGTGTCCTTACACTGCCCCCTTCCCGGGGCAGGATGAGGTGACACATGGTGTGGAGTTACCTGGAGTGTCTTTAACGTTCTCCAGCCTCTTCACCACCTAAGAAATAAGAAAATGTGTCAGTATGTCCATCTAGTGAACCACAGTGTGTGGGGGAGTGATTGGGACTTGAGACCTAAGGGCAGGGGTGTTGTGGCTCCCAGTTTAGGGCCAAGTTCTTTGCTGCTCAGTGATGGAGAACCCAAAAGTGGGAAGGCAAGAGAAGAGGAAAGAAAGATTTCTAACTAGTCCCAAACACTAGGAAGGCCCTCTAGGTTGCAGGAAGGCAGACGTGGACAATCCTGGCATCATGGCCTAGAACTACAGCTATGGGGGTACAGGTGGCTCCAGAGGGAGGAAGCCCAGAGCCATGATCCTCCCAGCCACCTCTGCAGGACTCTGGACAGATAGAGAGAGATGGGGTTGGACACAGGGCATGGTAGGGAGAAAGAGAGAGGAGGAGACAGCAAAAAAGAAAAGGTGTGGTGGCCAGGATACCATATGACTCTTCGCTGTGTTCAGAGAATGAGGCCTGCACTTCCCAGCAGCCTCCACAAGACGTGACCTCCTGCCCTCAGCTGCCCTCGCCAAGGCCATCAGGGAGGATGTACCCCCTTGGACTTCTTCCCTTCCCACTCCTCATTCATCCCTGGATCACAAGCCCCTTTCTTACCTTCTTCTGTGACCTCAGCCCCTGGGGCACCCAATAGGGCATAACAGCCCTATCCCTGGGCATTGGAAGGCAGCCCCCAAAGCAGTGGCAGGGGCAACGACATGACCTTATGGCTCTGGGAGTATAACGTCGCATCATCTTTGAGACCTACCAGTGGACAATAAGAAAGGTTCAAAGGGATGAAGGAGGCACCAAATACGATGGCACATGCCTTTAATTACAGCATTCAGAAAGCAGGTGGATCTTTGTGAGTCCACAGCCAGCCTGGTCTACATAGGGAGACCCTGTCTTTAAAGGGGGAGGCTCTGGCACAGCTAGTAGAGTGCTTGCCTAGCATGCACAGGAACCTGGATTCCATTGCCAGCACCACCAGGCAGAGGCCAACAAGATGGCTCAGCAGACAAGGGCACCTGCTGCCTTCCCTGTATGCCTGTATTTGATCCCTGGGACTCACAGTGGAGAGAACTGGCTCATGTAAATTGTCCTCTCACTTTCTACATATGCCCCTTGGCACATATACATACCCCCCACACACATATATACACAACACAGTAAATAAGTAAATAAATAAATGTAAAAAATTCCAAAACAAGCATGTTATTTGTGGTAGTTTGAATGAGAATGGCCCTTATAGGCACCCGTGTTTGACTCCTGGGTCTGTACTTGCTGGGACTCTTTGGAAAGAATTAGGAGCCCTGTGGTCCTTTTTCTTTATTTTTTTAAATTAATGTATTTATTGGTATTTTTTGATACAGGCCTGAAAATCACTATGTACACTAGGTTGGCTTTGACCTCACATGCCAAAGAACTTCTTGGCACATTGTGGGTGGTGAATGAACTGTCTAGAAGTGGGTAGCAGGGACAAGTGGTAACTGCCCTTCTACCTCTCCACCCAAGTCCAGGTAGTTATTTCTGAGTTTCTTTGGCCCTGGGTAATGAGGGCATGTGTCAATACATGGGTGTCAATGCCATGTCACTCAGTGAACAGCTCTCAGTGGGCATGGACTGTCACTCAGTGGAAAGTACTTACCTAGTTTGTTCAGTCCCCAGCTAAAACCAAAACTGTGTCCCAGAAACTTCAGTCATAGAATACCTGTGATTCTGATGGGCTTTGGACCTGGACATGTGTCCTGGCCCTAAGTTATGACCTGCCAAGTCACTTAGTTACCTGCTTTCGTGGTCTCAGGGACAGGGGCACCCAGTATGGCAGCAGTGCATCAGCCCGGGGCACAGGCAAGTGACCCCCAAACCTGGCATAGCATTGACAACACATGCACTCCTGGAGGACGGTGCGGAGGCTGGGGGACACCTGAGCAAAGCACACAGAGGACAGGACTAACCAGGTTG